GAGGGCAACAGCACCCTTGTACTTTCACACTGCGAGCTGTCATTCTGTACAAGCGCTTACATAAGGGATATTCTGCACGCAGCACCCCTCTGAAAACACGGCATTGCGGTGTTTGTCAGTTTCGTATATTCCCCGGGTCCCGTTTCTCAAAACGATCGTAGCGCTAAGATGATCGAAACTGCCATACTTAACATAGACTTACGACTGTCGTAGCGGTACGATCGCTTTGAGGAATGGGGCCGTGGGTCCCGATCCACAAAGCGTTCGTAACTTACGACTTATCGTAACTATATACTACACCATTGACTTACGAATGACGTAATGCTACGAACGCTTTGTGGATAGGGTTCCAGGTCGTTTGCATATTATGCTTCAGTCCCTGGGTCACGTCTAGAACGGTTACAATTTTTTTTTAAAAACGAAATGCAGACAGGCATTTTCAGCAGTTCATTTTGATACATTTTGTCAGCAATCGTCATTCAGACATGTACAATTCCTTTGTTCGAATCCCGTTAAGCAGGTCGTGGTTGTTGTGTATTGCCCGCAAACGTATCCCAAAATGTGTTTGTAAACGTTTGCCATAAAAAATGAAAACGATACATGAAAAGAGCATGCAGAAAAAGTTTCCACGTAATGCACGTGCAATATGTCGGAAACATGAGTAGAGTCATCGACTATTAAAGGCCAAACCAAATTCATCATTTCATTACGAAATTTACGACGTAAACGAAGATAACAAATGCCAAGATTGAATTCTACTGACCGAAATACGTGTGGAAACAGGGGCGTCTCAGTCTGCTGTTGCAATACACTTTAACGTCCACCACAGCACCATATCTCGATTATGTCATCGATAGACCCGATTCAATTCGACCCAAGGTCGTCTCAGAAGTGGAAGGCCAAGAGTGACCACTCCTGCTCAGGACCGATTCATCCGGGTGTTTCACCAACGTCACCGATTTGCTACAGCAACGGACACTGCAGGACAGGTGCCTGGTCTTCGAAGAATTTCCGACCAAACCATCATAAATCGTCTGAGAGAAGACTTAGTGCGAATTCGAGCATATCGACCAAAAGTTGGACCTGTCCTGACAAGACTACACCGACGACGGGTCCAATTGTAGAACAGGGTACAGGTATGGAACCTGGGGAACAGGCGACGCGTTTGGTTCAGCGATGAATCGCGTTTCCTCCTGCAACGACGGGATGGTTGACAACGTGACGTCGAAACGAACGTTTTGCGCCGAATTGCGTTCGACAGGTGGACCGATTTGGCGGAGATAGTGTCATGGTGTGGGGAACATGTCCTACACGGGTAGATCAGAGCTAGTTGTGGTTCAAGGCAATCTTACAGCTACATCGACCAAATCCTCCGAACTCACCTCCTTCCACTTTTTAACCGTGAGAAGGAGCTGTTTCAAAATGATAACGCTCGACCCCATACAGCTCGTGTAATAGTTGCCTATCTCGCCTTCCCTGGCCTTCTAAATCGCCTTATGTGAACCCGATGGAGCATCTATGGGACGAACTTGATCGACGCGTTTGTAAACGTCACCATCGTCCTCAAACACTTGCAGAACTTGCCAACGCGTTGCAGGAGGAATGGCAAAGAATCCCGACGACCTGTGCAATCCCTTCCAGGGGGTGTCGAGCAGTGACGGCTGCAAGTGGTGGTATCAACAGGTACTTACCTGAACGCCCCCTTGTGTCCACACATGTGCAGTGAGTGAACTGAATTAATGCTGACAATGACAACAATACAGATGTTCACCTCCGTGTCGAATTTCATTCATCTACTAGTATGTTCAATCTTAATCGACTAATGTATGCTTAAATAGGTTGAATACATTTCCTTATATATATTTGGCCTATGCGTTTCTTTTTTTGAAGAGTGTAAAAGTGCTACACGATCACCAACCGACTGGTATTCATTCTCAGTTCCCGGGGCCCGTGATGATCCGGGTTAGAAATGGTCTTCAGCAACCCATGCTTGTCGTAGGATGTGACTAGCGGGATCGGGTGGTCAAGCTCGCTGACGTGGTTGACACATGTCATCGTATGCCAGTTGCATAGATCGATGCTCATGAAGCTGATCACTTGATTGTCTGGTCGATTATTTACAGACCGACGCCACAGAGCTGGAATATTGCTCAGCGCGGCGTTAGACAACAACCAAACCAGTTATGATATCGGCTACCTACTCGCTACTGCGTGCGCAGAGGCTTGAACTGAGTTTCTCGCCGAAGAAACACTACAAGTGTAATAATGCAGATTTCTTAATACCCGAGTCAAATTCGACCTTTGCACGGTCGGTCAGGATGAAGAATCTCATGCAAAGGTCAGTTTGTGGTTGTGTTGATAAGCCAAGACCAGCTTCTGTATCTAAGTAACATCTGCTCCGGTCCACAAAGTGATCGCAGATTGCACGAAAACGATGGTCCGTTCGTGAGTGAGGTGTGCTTAACACTGATATTTTAGTTATGTCATCGTGTAGGAGGAAAACCCCAAATCACGGATATTGCTTCGATAGGCCAGGGGGTATAAAGACAAATGTGGCTTATTGCTGGAATGTTGCTCAAACCAGCGTAAAACCCAATAAACTTTTAATACAATCACTAGTGGTTGTATAAAGCGTTTGCTTGTTATGCCGAAAACACTAGCGATTCCGCATATGAAGTGTTTGGGCGGGAGGGAGAAAAAGGAACGTATTTGGGATTGACTTCGGGTTGAAGATGATTTCCCATAATAAAAAGCGAATTGTGTGTACTATTCTTGAATACAACAGCTCTATATGCTAACCCTAACAGATGACATGCCGCAGTAGTAGTGAGTGAGTGAGTATGGTTTTACGCCGCTTTTAGCAATATTCCAGCAATATCAAGGCGGGGACTCCAGAAATGGGCTTCACACATTGTACCCAAGTGGGGAATTAAACCTGGGAATTGACGAACGAACGCTTTAACCACTAGGCTACCCCACCGCCACCTGCAGTAGTAACACGAACACCCCTCACATACACAGTGTACGACGCCAGGGTAACAACAACTACCAGCTTTTAGCGCCTTTTGGTACGACACGGTCGTAGATGGCCAACCTTCCGCAATCAACGCGGCTGTCAGAAACCGTATGAAAAGTATAACGCACACAATGGCGTAACTAAGCAGAAAGGGATTTCCTGACAACAGATTAAAACCAATACAATGGATATTCGATATTCAGTGAACCATTCATAATTTCTAACGGCATTTTTTCCGTTTGCGATTACTGGAATGTGTTCCGGTACATACTCAAGACGTTTTATACATATGCAATCTTTCAAAAAGTCACTAAAAGAAAACATTTAAATAAAACAAACGTACCGTTAAATGCGGTAAGCTATTAGTTGTCGTCTTGACAAGCATGACTATCTTATAACACAGTGTACGTTTGTAAATCACCTTTTTGTCCCTTAAACAGTTTAGAAATACGATGTTAATTTCTTGAAAGAGTGTCTTGATGGCGAAATAATGAAGATAAGCACAATTTAATTGCTACAACTTTGAAATGAACCAAATCCTGTGCCAAATGCTTACACTCCTTTCATCATGTGCGCTGGGCTGGGGAGATCGCCTTTCCCTGTAACGATGTAAGATGTAACGAGTTAGAAACCTGTCATGACTGACTGACTGACTGACTGAGTTTGGTTTTACGCCGCTTTTAGCAATATTCCACCAACATCACGGCCCAAGGGGAAACCAGAAATGGGCTTCACACTAGGCTGTACCCATGGGGATTCGAACCTGGGTATTCGGCGTGACGAGCCAACGCTTTAACCATTAGGCTACCCCACCGTCGTAGATGTTAAATAAAACAAACGTACCGTTAAATGCGGTAAGCTATTAGTTGTCGTCTTGACAAGCATGACTATCTTATAACACAGTGTACGTTTGTAAATCACCTTTTTTGTCCCTTAAACAGTTTAGAAATACGATGTTAATTTCTTGAAAGAGTGTCTTGATGGCGAAATAATGAAGATAAGCACAATTTAATTGCTACAACTTTGAAATGAACCAAATCCTGTGCCAAATGCTTACACTCCTTTCATCATGTGCGCTGGGCTGGGGAGATCGCCTTTCCCTGTAACGATGTAAGATGTAACGAGTTAGAAACCTGTCATGACTGACTGACTGACTGACTGAGTTTGGTTTTACGCCGCTTTTAGCAATATTCCACCAACATCACGGCGGGGGAAACCAGAAATGGGCTTCACACATTGTACCCATGGGGGGATTCGAACCTGGGTATTCGGCGTGACGAGCCAACGCTTTAACCATTAGGCTACCCCACCGCCCACCTGTCATGAAGAATGGAGTTTTGTTTGGCAAAAAGCTGTTTTGACCGTCAAAAAACGAACCTTCGCGTTTATAAGCTACATCAATAAGTTAAAGAATGTCTGTTTTCTTTCTTAAATATTTCGAAGCTTCTTCAGAAATGGTGACTAAAATGTACACATGATATTACAAACCAATATATTGTACATGCTTCAATGTCATTAAGACAAAGCAGTATGTTTTCGAATGAATCTATCGGCTTCCTGATAGGAACCTATTTATTTAGTTAAGATGGTATATATGGTATATACTAAGTGTCCAGGATCTTTTCATATACTAGGGCGGTGGGGTAGTCTAGTGGTTAAAGCGTTCGCTCATCACCTCAAAGAACCGGGTTTGATTCCCCACATGGGTACAATGTGTGAAGCCCATTTCTGGCGTCCCCCGCCGTGATATTGCTGGAATATTGCCAAAAGCGGCGTAAAACTAAACTCACTTACTCAATTTACATATACCCTCTTTGGTCAGTCGTTTCTATAATTGTAATCCATAATTCTACATTACAAATATGTTCACTTAACACATGATCACTTTTCTTGTGCACTTGTTCACGTAGCACAATTTCATGGCATACATTAGAGTTATACATTGACATAATATTACAGTACATAAAAACGAAAGCATTTCAAGTAGTTAGAAATGTTTACTGGTGTTTATTTCCTGAAACAGAAGAAAACAATCACGATAACATATTTTCCAACAACCAATATATTGAAAAGAGAACACAATTTTCTATCAACCTATCAATCAATCTATTTACAATCTTCTAACACAAAATGAATACGGAAAGACCAAATGCCGAACTGTTGTACAGACATTGGCCTTGAACATAGTAATATATGAAGTAGTGTTAATTGGCGAGTAGATGTCATAAATCGTAAGACAATATTTAATCAAATGTATGCCATACATGGATAACTATTCATCAGGATGTATCATTCTAAATAGCTCAAATGATAATTATCATGTCCATCGCTCTGTATAATTACAAAGTACATAAGGTGCTAATATGATATTTCAACTCTTGAGAAACATGAGAGCAAAGTATTGGCGTTTATTTCAATTTAGAAACAACGCACGAACATATTATCACTCTGAAAAAAAGAGTTGGTGAATTTGTCTTTCGTAAGTGATACTCCAAATATTCATTAATATTTTGTAATACCAGCATGAATATTGACCAATATCTGCCAGAGAGTAAATGACGTTTTCTTGTCCCCCTTCCGTGTATGCGTAAATGTAAAAGGAGTATATCACACTTCAGGAGTTTCCAAATAATTAATGTAGAAATGTCTGTCAAACAGAATGATCATAAATCCAAACAAATACATTTAACTAAGTCAAAATACCATATATACCTGAAATTCGACATGAAATCGTTTCCAAGGGAATCCTACATCGTAAACAGGATTCATCATTCAGAAACTTGTCAGTCCGGATTATTTCACTGGGTGTATTATTATCCGGTATAAGAAGGTTTTGAACTTACAAAATGTTAAACATTTATAATCTGTAAAACTACAAACCAAGTATTTGATCAACTGACCTTTCCACTCAGAATGTCAGTACACATACTGAACTCTTACAGAATCAGTACTGACACCATCTTGGTCATTGTGTGAATATATCACTATATTACTCAGAGAGCCAACTACCCATATTTTTCTGGTATTTGATTGGCAATCAAAGTTTAATGCATATTCAAATTTGCTTCTGCACCTGTTCAGTCTGGGAAAACTATGTAAGAGAATCCTCTGCAAGAACAATCCTTGTATACGCGTCCGTCTTTGATGGGATCATCCAGCCCAAAGGTCAATGCCCCAACACTCTAGAGCATAGAACGCTCTGTACAAGAAGTTCCGATGGGTGTAGTAGTCCAAACAGAAGTAGCCTGCCCTAACCGATGCATCTTTGATCGCTATTCGACTTTTTGTTGAGAACCGGACAAAGAAGTATCTGGAATCCAGATTCGTTACATTATACTCCATATAGTTGTTTTCATCGGCCAGAGGCACGGTGTTTTTAGTTTGTCTGTTCCAGGATTCGCTGATTAGTTCTATGAATATATCCTTGCCACTTTCGCTTGTTGCTTGGATATAGAAGGAGCTAGCCCACTCGGGAACCTCAATGGCAAACACTGGGTTTATCGATCTGGAAACGGTTACCCCAGTTCGGGTTTTATTGTGCCTGAGATGGAGAATGTGATCTTTAATGTCGCATGCCTCAATGCCAACGTCGGCGAAGGACTTTATATAGTGCTCTGCTGTCTGACCAAGGTCATAAGCCGATTTCATAATATCACACGCTCCGTCTGAAAAGTTGCTGAGGGGATGCCAGTACATTTTATTGGCATGGAGAAACACTCTGAAGACGTCTCTTGGATCATCGCTGTATTCTTGACACAGAAGGTAAAACACGCGGTTGTAGATTCCACTGCAACCATGAGGATCAATTCCTTCTTTGTACTTCTTCATATGCTTGATGGATCTCCCGTTCTTTGGTGGATCGTCCAGATAGCGCATCGATCTTTCATGGAACATAATTCCGTAGCCAACTCTCCAGTCGATAACGTCAAGGTACAACTCTGCCATTTCACCAGCCATGTCCGAGAAGGCTTCATTCAACCCTCCCGTCTGGCTGACGTACAACAGCCCTGCGTTTTTTTCACTGAAGCCATGAGCAATTTCATGTGCAGCAATATCAAGGGCAACAAAAGGATAGACCTGTCTTTTCCGACCATCTCCAAAGGTCACATTCTGGCCGTTCCAGAAAGCATTCACATGATTCTTGGAGAAGTGCACTCTCATGACCAGGTTTTCAACAAGCTTATGGCCAAACCATTCCAGGAACATCCTCTGTATCTGTGTCCCATAGTACAAAGCGTCAAGGGCTGGGGAGTATGCTCCGTTAATGGAGTCATTGTACGTCTGATCACAGTCGAAGCTTGCGGTCTCAGTGATGTTCTCCAGTTCTGTGTGCTGCATGTCGACAACTTTCACAAGGTCATTCTCCAAATAGCAAGTATTCCCTTCCTTTCGCAGTTCCAAACACTGTGGAATTATTCCATACTCCCGTTTACCTATCTTTTCATTACCCCCGTAGAGCCTATGACGCTCCTTGGGGAAACATGTCTGGAGATTATTCCATGCTTTAATCACTTCTCCAGTTCTTGTGTTAATGATTGCCGTTGGCCGTTTCACCTCTTCCTCCATTTCAATCAGATATTCCACGATTGCAATTGGAAAAGCTGTACTGTTGTCATCTATATGTACATCATACACAATCTTACGATTTCCTATATTTTCAGTGATATTTTCATCATTGTTAAGGTTGATAAGTATATTATACAGTTCCTCTTCGGATAACTCGTGATCAAAGTCTTTTAATTCGGTTTCAATATCTTCAATAATCGTGCCACTAGCATCAACAAGTGTCTCATTGTCATCGTCCACTTTGACCGTCACAATTGTGTCAAATACGTCCCTACCCCGATACCGTTCTTTCATCTTCCTCAATGTGACGCCGTGGACGGTGACAACTTCATTGACAGTTTCAAACCTCTCTGCGCCCTTTAGTCCAAGCATCTCTTCGGCGTATTCTTCAGGGCGTATTGAAGCTCCTCCAGCAGATCGCTTGGCTCTGTGGGAGTCTGTCATTTCAGGAGGCTGTCTTGTCTGGTAGCCCAAGGGAACACTTGACACCTGTGTCAGTTTGTCTCGGGCGCTCATCCGTTTGGCTGATTGTACTTCATGGTGAGTGAGGGCCGCCACTGGAAGTATATACATCAGAGAGTAAATAGAACTATACAGATCACTTCCAAAAATTTAAAACAAAACAAGGCAATGTTCGTTTTGCTGAATCAAATTTTCACTCAGGGTACAAGACTATGTTATATTACATGTAACAACTGATCATGTACCCCAAAACTACAAAAAACATCATGATACAGTTTCAATAATGATAAGCGCGACGTTCATCAACAAACTGAAGAGTATTACAAATCGAATACATTTTGTTTAATATACTCTATTTTGCTGCAGAACAATATTTTCTTTTGTTTTATACATGTGTGACTTTGTAGGACCTTTATATGTAAACAACTGTCAAAATAATATTTTAACACGACTTTGATTTCATTATTTACGCAATCTATAATTCTACCACATCTCAGCGATTCAGAAACACATGCTCGAGATATGGTCGGAATAGTTACTTGTTTATGCTTTAGCAAATGTTTGCTATGAACGGCGACAGTTTTTTGTCGATTTTGTTAATATGATATCAACGCTTAGCCGAATCTGGAGCAGTACCAATTCCAAGGCAGGTTCCTGGCTCGTTCTCCTGCGTATCTCATCTCATTTTACTTACGAGAGGGATGACAAATATAACTGTTTTTCACTGACTTTAATTGTAAATGCCCAGGAATGGTGTTTCACTCGCTCATCTTTAAAGTTGCCATATATTGTTGGATGGAAAAGTCCAGTTAGTCCCTCGCCACCATAATATTCGGTAAATATATCAGCTAAATTCACACAAGCCTTTACGTTTATAACTCATTAAACGCAACAACACACTGAAATAAGTTTTTGTAAATAGACCAATCGACTATCCAGACTGCTTACTTAACACAAACATACAAAAGCCCACGCAGACAATATTGCAGTGTCAGTGACGTCAAAGATCCGGGTTCGACTCCCCACATGGGTACAATGTGTGAAGCCCATCCCCCGCGAACTTTCTTTTTAATGTCAAGTGAAGTTGCACAAGTAACCAGTACATACTCGGTGCGGATTACCTGCCAGTTACCCTATCAGTGTTACCTGGCAATTACCCTATCAGTGTTACCTGGCAGTTACCCTATCAGTGTCACCTGGCAGTTACCCTATCAGTGTTACCTGGCAATTACCCTATCAGTGTTACCTGGCAGTTACCCTATCAGTGTTACCTGGCAGTTACCCTATCAGTGTTTCCTAAAGACTAAGACGTGGATGCCCGGTTGGCAAGTACGCACTGTTCTCGTAGTGTAAGTTATGTAAGTTGACAGGTAATTGCCCTACCACAGGTAATGCGTTTACAGAGATAATAATAAATTGAATATCCTGTAGCAAACAGATTCTTAGCATACCAAAATGTATCTCTTGACGCATTACGTATAATATTGTCATATGCAATCATTTGAACGCCTTGATCGTCGACTGTCTGAGAGAGCAATCGCTGATCACGTCGGAGAGGTATCATGCGATGTATCCAAAGCTTTTGATCGTGTGTGGCACAAAGGGCTTGTATGTAAATTAGAGATGTATGGTATTAGAGGCCAGCTTTTGCAATGGATATCGAGTAACATAAGTGATCGCAGTCAACACGTCTTTGTAAACGGAGCTACAAAGCGTATATCCAAGCCCAGGTACTTAACAGCTGGCGTCCCCCAGGGATCAGTATTGGGACCCTTTTTGTTCGTGGTCTATGTTAACGATATTGCTGATAAATTAGATTGTGTAACAAGACTTTTTGCTGATGATACCTCGCTTGGAAAATCATCGAAAAATACTAAAGAAATCGAAACTTCTCTTAATACCAATTTAGACATATTATATAGCTGGAGCAAAAACTGGCTGGTCTCATATAATCCTGAAAAAACAGAAGCAGTGTTGTTTTCCATGATTGATGAAACTGAAGAATTGAAATTATATTTTGACGGAAAGCAAATCAATTTGGTAAACAATCATAAACATCTCGGAATAACATTTGAAGCAAAAGGCAAATGGTCTTGTCATACTAATCAATTTATCAAGTCGTGCTCCAAAATGATATCATCAATGCGGAAATTGAAATACTTACTAAACAGAAATACAATCAATACTATTTATAAGATATTTATCAGACCACACTTTTAATATGCTTGTGAATTATGGGATGGCTGTACTGTACAGCAGAAAGAAAACCTAGAGAAACTTCAGTTAGAAGCTGCCAGAATAGTTACGGGTCTACCTAGATATACTTCACGTCAAATTCTATATTATGAGACAGGCTGGGAAAGGCTGGATGAACGAAGAAAAAGAAGAAAACTTTGTCTATTCTACAAAATTCAAAATGATTTAGCCCCTGTATACTTAAAAGATATTACTCCAGATAGTGTTGGATCAAGATCTAATTATAACCTTAGGAATGCTAACAATATTATTCTACCTTCTGCAAACTTAAGACTTTCATATGATTCCTTTTTTCCATCAACTGTAAGAATGTGGAATAATATTTCTGATACCGAAAGAAATCGACCTTCATTACAAAGTTTCAAGTCGTACTTAAAGTGCGAGCAACCTGTAGCTCCATCATATTACTCGTTTGGAATTAGAAAATTAAATATTATACACACAAAGTTGAGATATATGACTAGTCAGCTAAATTTTGATCTGTATCGTTTCAACATGAAAGATTCTGCTTCTTGTTACTGTGGTAATACTTGTGAAAATGTACATCACTTCCTATTAGAATGTAAACTGTACAACATTCAAAGGGAAATATTAATGTTAAATTTAAAAAGTATTGTAAATCGAGACTCTCCAATTACATTGTCATTGATGTTATTTGGAAGTCCTGATATGACCATTCAACAGAATGAATACGTTTTTAAAGGTGTGCAAACTTTTATTCATCAATCAAAACGTTTTCCTATGAGTTGTATCCCTTCCTCTACTTAACTTTCCTATCTCTTCTCTCTATTCTTTCCTAATATGTATATAATTGAAAATGTATGTATGTAAATATTAGGGAGCGGGTATTTTAAGTTGGATTACTTGTCCCCAATCCCTTTCACATTTGTGAATAAAATATGTTTAAATCAATCAGAGGTATCATGCATTTTCACATGTCACATATCACCACTGCATATCCTTCCACGTCAGCATACCGCCCATGCATATCTGTCCACATCGGCAAACCACCCATATATCCTTTCACTGCAGCATACCAACCCTTCATATATTTCGACATAAACACACGCCCATGCATATCGTTTCATTACTTTCCACATCAGCTAACAACCCATTTAAATCCATTCAAATCAGTACACCAAACATTCATATCTTTACATATAAAAATACGCTCATGCATGTAACCGTCCACATCAGCATATCAAACATTCATATCTATCCACATAAAAATACGCTCATGCATGTAACTGTCCACAGGAGTATACCAAACATTCATATCTTTCCACATAAAAGTACGCTCATGCATGTAACTGTCCACATCAGCATACCATCCATGCATATCTTTTCACATTAATGCATATATTCCCCAGCATGACTTACTGACATATATTTGGCATATTGTCGTGATATCCGACTATTAGATAATAGATGAATTTCAATCGAGGGGAACATGTGCAAAATAGTTTAAATCTTGAAAACACGACTCAGATGGTTTTACATGCTAAACGTCATCAACGACAAACACGATAGAGGATACACTACACATTGTCTTAATTGTTACAATAGTTAAATGGCAAATTATATGATTTCAGTTGACAATATATCAGGTTTAAACTTTAAACTTCACATTGAGCAGGGATGCAGCATACATGACCGTAGCCAAGCTTTCTAAGGGGTTTATACGTTTCTAAATTTGACCATCAGGGACACAAAAGATTCCCCGATGCAGTTACCTAATTTGACTTAAAAGTGAACACTTGACTTGGCATTGCATGTATGTTTGACGGGTGCCACCAATGGAATGGGCGCAGGATACCTTTTCGCGAACATCTGGTATCTTCAGCGGGTGTTTTGCTGCTTATATTCAAAGCTGTAGCCTCCTTTAGAGTGATAAATGACCTTATTGCCGGTATCGTGTTTGTGACTGTTAAAGGGTTTATTGCCAAACTGTCGAGAGAGCAATGCCTGCATTTCTTTCAAAACAACCGTGTTGTCGGACTAGGAAATGACTTCTGAAATACCCAGGGAACCAAGCCACTATCTTGATTGACAGACCAATTCGTTCCTGGCACTATATCGTTCCGGTCTGTCATTTACTGACAATATGTCTATCACAGACGTGGCAGATGTTTTCTTGGTGTGATTGCCATCTTAGAATCATCGAAAAAAACAAAACCATTTTTGAGATTCCATAGTGCTGAAGGCTATGACAGGGGCCTTCGGTAAATCTACAACCTGATCTTGCCACAGGTTCGTCGTTCTCATCCGAACAGCAGGTGAGGCATCATTTGAAACAAAACAAAAAATCCTGCATGCCTTTTATTCCTTTCCTTTTACAAGAATTTAGTTTTAGGGTGCAGAATATATTTTGATATACTACAGGCAACTAGAATTCAGAATAATAACAACAAATACAGAAATAAATGGGATTTAGAAGTAAACGAATGTATATCTGATAATGATTGGAAACATATCCATAAAATACCGTTCAGGGCCCTTGTTAATGTAAAACATCAATGGTTTCAATATAGTATCATTCACAGGTGTATATCAACTAACGAAATGCTATCAAAAATGAAATTGATTGAATCCAATGCTTGTACTTTCTGTAACACAAGTGTTGAAACCATAATACACATATTCTATGAATGTGATATTGTCAAAGAGATTTGGAATAATGTTATTGCGTGGATTCAACATAAAGCAGGCACTCTTCTTCATTTAGATAAGAAAAAGGTATTATTTGGTTACCCTGAGAAAAGAAATGATGTGCTCAATCGCATCATTATTATCACAAAATACAATATTTTCAAATCAAGACTAGCAAACAGACATCCAA